TTGGGGTTTGGGGAAATCCTAACACTGTCTTCCTCCACCTCCCGCCCCCCTTCTCTGTTTACCGCAGCTGCTCGTTATTGACCACAGTTACTTTCCTAACAGTTCACTGTTCGTTTGGAATTGCATTCAACCGTTTTCTTCTAAAATTTTGCATTTGGTGCTGCGTCCCTTAATGTGCTCATCGTACTGTGAACACAATCATCTTCTGAAAATGGAGGAACCTTTGCTTGTAATATCCAACCGTATTAGTAAGACACAGCTTCTCTCAAATATTACGTTGAACTCGCTTGTCCTCCGTTATAGGCTCAAAACCCCTTACAATTATCTTGTATTTTTGTACAAATCACACATTTTCCCCTTTTGTTGCACGTTCCAGATCTCATGATGTCCACAAGCAAAGGTTCCACCGGCAACAGTGGTTCCATTTTCAGTCGAAGATTTCCGTTTCGTTCGTCAGGAGATGCGTCACCGGGACCATCCAATCCATTCAAACGCTTCATTGACTTTTGCTCGTTAAAACCGAACGCAGCACAGCCCTTGACTTCGAGCGATTCTATCACGACAAGCACAACAACAACAACGCCAGACTTAGAAACACAAAGCGAGACGGAGACGAACGGCTCGACAGCCGAGATCAGCGAGGTGAATACGGACAGTCAGAAGAGCCCGGACTTAGGCCACACTCCAACGAACGAGGAGAAGCACTGTTTGGGTCAGAGCGAAGAAAGCTGTCTCGAATCCGAGGCACCTGACAAACCGTCCACGGAATACAATCTGTCCTCTGAAATTGTATTCAAATTGGTTCGAGGCGAGGTACGGGACCACCGTTACTGGCTGTCGCGTCATCGCATAGCTCCCCTCTATGCCGGATGTCTGTTGCCCGTTCGCTAATTAATGTAACATGCAATAGATAGAAGTGATGAATTGTAGTAACCACGAAGTGGATTTGCTCAAAATTCGATAACGACACAGGAGATTGTTTTTGTTGTGGGTATCGATGTACATCGATGGTTTTAGACGTTCTGAAATAGAATAAGTTTGAAAGCACTGGGGGCTAAGTAAGAATTGATAGTTGAACAAAACCTCCATTTGTTGAGACAGCTAATGGCTGTAGTGAGTCCTGATTACGTGAAACCAGATACTGAGTTATTTAGAAAAAAATGATGAAAATTGACAACACCTGCAGCGCTTTGAACAGGGTTGGTTATTCTCACACATTTTGCATCCCGATGGCGTGTNACGAATATGCCGTGCGTCTGAAAACGGAAGCCCTATCATCACTCAATCAATCAGCTGATCAGAAGCGTTCTGCACCTAACATGACTCATAGGGTAGTCATCAAATAATCGCTCGCATTCTCACCACAGAAGTGAACCCAACCACGTGACCGCAATGGCTGAAAAAAATGTCCCTGTAGGTGTTATTGTCACGCACGATCGGTGAGCCAGGTGTTTGATTTGGTTCTAAAAACCTTTTCAAATAGGACTTCCTTTAGGTGTGAATGTGTGAGGCTTAAAGCAACTGCTGCAAATACACCTCCCATTCAGTCAGAGGAACTCAGAACCACGGCCATGTTTTTGAATGATACAGTATGGCATTCAGCAATATGCATAGTTCAGTCTCCACAGCCCCGATGAAATGATCTACTTACCTACACCACCTACGAAAGAGTGAGGTCATCTTCAGTCGTCGAGCTTGAGTCGGGTCTTCCCATGATCCAAGTTGCAGTTTTTGCTGGTCGAAAGCCTGATCTCGAAATTCGCGAAAGAAATAAGACAGATAACTATTTTGGGTTATTTGATATTTTAAACTGCAACAATTATTGTCCGGTACTTCTAGTACTGATAGCATTTCGCACTTCGGAGAGACTTTGTTTAGGAAAAATCAGTTCAGCTCAGTTGCAATTAAAATCCGTTTTTGTTTTCCTGTAGGGTAATGTGTGTTGTAACATCATTACTCTTAATTTTAATAGTTCGCTGTTATCTTTTTTCCCCCGTATGATTGACGAGGTCAATGGACTCCAATGTCTATTCCTAATAACATTTGACTAACGCTGCTTCAGACGCCCGTAAAATATCCATTGAGTTTGATGTTCATTGATAGTTTCTATGTTCCTGTTTATGAATAGCTCGCCGATTGATGCGCTACCGTAAGATCCATGTGATCAACCTTTTTCGGCTTTGACGATTACGCGGTTACATCCTCTGCTGTCTTTGGAAAAAAGGCGAACATTTCATTACTGCCTTAAAACCCACGAATCTTAGTTAGTGCATTGCCTGCCTGCCATCTTTTTGATCTGCAAACGCAGGCAAGAAGAAACAAATCCCTACCGAAAACAGATGTCCCATAGGCACTGATATCATTCTATGTCATGCTATCCTGATATGCATAAATTTAGGCTGTGATGTATTCACAGTGATGCATACAGTCATAACCCTGGTTGTCAAACCAGATCCAAGTACACACTCTGCTGAACACACCGAACTGAAAGAGCCAGATGGATCAGTGGCCCAAATCCCACAGCAAAGACTGAGTACGGGTAAGGGCTGTTTTGATGGGACAACAGTTTGCTCTGCTAGCCTTGGCTTGTCCGTTATGCAAGCCTGTGAAGAACGCTTCAGTTTAGCTGATTGACTGAGTCGATTTTGGCCTTCCGTCCTTGTTTGTGTTCTTGCGTACATAATAGATGGCTATTCAAAACACGGTGTGGTCGTTCCTGGTACACCATGGAAATAACCCAATTCCGTTTTCGTATGTGCTCATGCATTAATTTTGGGTTAAGATAAATAACTGGTCCCTGTTAAGCGTCTGTCTTCATAGTGTGGTGCATGCAATTGTTTCACTATGCAGGCTTGGTATCAGGAAGTTGATGGTCATCCGATAGTGCCCGTTACATCCCACTACGACCATTTCCAATAAAAGTAACACTAAATTGATGCTGATTCGAAGTGATCCGATGCAGGACCAATGCGCACGGTTCAAGTGCTTTGGATGCCTTAGATTCGCGTCATCGCATACCCAGTTGCGGCTTGCGGTTGATCCGGTAGATAAACATGCAGAACCATTAATGTGTACTGTGCTGTATGCTTCATTTTCACACACGGTGTTGATAGGTTGATTTCGTGCCCACGAAGCAAGGAATCAGCCTACTCTGTGACGGTCGTACATGATTCAAAAAGAAAAAAAATCAGTTGAGTGTCGATAGGTCAACTTTTTATCCTCCCACTCATTCGGACTGTGTACGGCAACGTTGCTTCCAGATAAAGCCGAAAACATTTTCACTCGAATTGGTATTCAGTCAGATGTATACCTTAGAGAAATAGCGACTGCCCCAATGGGGATTTCCGATGTTCCATGGATTTCATCTCAGTTGTTTTGCTCATCTGTTCTTCTGAATGCGGAAAGATCAGTGCTATCGGTGCGGCCTCGTAGCTCATTTGGTATAGCGTGCGCTCTACAAAAGCGTTGTCAGCGTCCCCGAGTGGGTTTGAATCCCACCGAGGCTACTAAACCTTTCACAATGCAAACACAAAAATCTTTTCCCTTGTGTGCACTCTTCTCACCGTATTAGATTTCACCGGATTCATTCTCAGCCAAACCGACCGATACAGAATCTCCCGGCCCCATGGGATCGCACCCTGGCTCGATCAGTGGGGATACCGATGAACCAATGGACTCATTGTCTGACGCGCTGGATGCCATCAAATGCAAACTAATGGCCAACGCCTTCTATGCATGTAGGTTTGCGCCAAACTGTGAGCATGTGTATTCGTTGTGTCCCATTATTACTCAGGCACGTCGATGATGAAAATAATACGATACCAAACACATGAAGCTTGCTTATTGATCCAGTCAAAGTTAAATCGAATACCGGGACCCATCTTTGATAAGCTTGAAAAGTAATCCTAATTATGGAATAAATAGTAGTTTGAAAAACAGCGAGGGAGACACTGAGTCCAAAAGGTAGAAAGTTGTAGCGAAATAAACCAAAAGGTGTGTTGATAGTCGTGAGTTCGCGAGACTTTTCATCAAGAGGAATTTGAAGAAATGCATCTTCTAAGTTTGGACTAGAGAAAAATTTGGATCCGTGAAGTTGGTGCAGAATGTCTTCTGGTTCGA